AGGTGGGCCCCATTGTATTGGTGGGCTCCACCTCTATTAGAGAGGTGGTATGAATGTGGTATAAAAAATGTGGTAAGCCTAGCATTACCCATTTATTTATTGATATTATATCATAAGAGATCCATAATATATCGGTCACCCATATTTTAACATATGAATTGGTAACAACATGTGACAGTGTAATCATAACACTAAAATTTCTAAAACTTATTAGTGATATCATATTTAAGTACATATAATTTTATAGAATTTTGAAGTTTAACAAAAGAAACTTTGACTTGTCAAGCACGCTGATTGATATCAAACAAGCTCAGATATCATATTACGCCCATTGCCCATCTTGGATACTGCAATGTTTAATTCAAACAACATTTGACCTGGCTACTTTTCATGTGTCATCTCTTTCTTTCTGCTCTAATTTTAAGCACAATTTGGAAGCTTTCCGTTGTCCTGACCGTCACTCACGCATCCTTTGCCGTTGCTGAGGTTTCATATCAAATTGTCAATTCATCCTCCTTACCCCAATAAAATCCAAGTTAAATACTTCAAAATAAATAAAGGGAAAACCTTTATTTTTCTTCTCTGTGTTGGAAAAATATGCAACAATTGGTGTGCCATTTTAGTTTATACGAGCCTTGACTTATTAAATATTCTGTGAACCTGGGATTTCAGAGGAGCATTTAAACAAACTCTGTGCTCTTCAATAAAAGTTACCCCACAAGCGAAACGGTTGCCAAGGCATGATTTGTGGGTGGAGTCTCGGCGGGGACCAACCATGGTCAAAGTTTAATGAATTTGCGGCATAAATAACTTCATTGAAAAGATCAATTTTAACATTAGGCACAACATACCATATTTCATGGGGAATTTTTTGCGTGTCTTGGTCCTAACAAATTATATAATCTAATGATATAAAGCCTTTTATACCCTCTATTATAAGATTGAGTGTTAAACTTATTCCTTTCTCACATGGATGTGGCATAACTTTACTAGGGTAGGGGTTTTAGCTTTAACAGTAGAGCATTTAACCGATCATCATTCGGTCTAATAATATTAGTTTTTATTTCATTAGAAGAGATTTTGAGTTAAAATCTGATGGGTGATGAATAAAATCGAAATAAAAAATGAAATAAAATAGCATTTAGTTTTTACTTAATCTCCCGCCTTCAATCGAAAAAGATAATGAAAGTTATTCTTTGGTAAGATTTTTCAGTAAGAATGTACTTTTTCTATTTAAAACATTTATCCAAGGATTTCAATTTGGAATAACTTTAACTTATTTTAGTGGCCTATTGGGCAAAAACATGAGTTTTTTTTTTAGCATAAGTTACACACATATGATGGCTCTACAAGCTGAGGAAGGATCAGGCAACCCAAAGTCCACATTTGCACCACAATTGATTTAACATAATATATATACATGACATTGTGCTTTTTATGATAAAAACAATAGTTGGGTCGAATCTTTTACCTCAACTTGTGTCCAAGTCTCAAATAAATCACATAACAGAAAAAATAAGGGTGGGTGGAATCGAAAATGTGCTCACTTATAAGTTCCAAAAGAAAATTTATAATATTCGAACGTGATCAACACCATCAAATCAAAGTCACATACCAAAAATAAAATTATATTGGGACAAAAATAGTGAACCAAATGCAGGGTCCAAAAGGAGCCATTTGTGACCAGCTGTGACCTTGTGAGTGCGACTAAAATTGAAAGGGTAATAGAAAACTCCACAGTGAGCTTTTCAAACACGCAAGTCTCTTGAAAATGATCTACACCGTTGGGCATGTGGGCCCTATAGCAAAAAGTCACAGAAAGGTTCAATCTTGTCCATCCATTTGGCACCCATATTTTTTTTAAGCTTATTGAAAATATTATCTACAAGCTAAGACTTTTGGGAAAGAAGAAATAAAACATTGACGTTGCATAAACAAAATGATAAAGAGAGACAGAGAGAGAGTGTGTGTGTTCTAATTTGTAAAGTTCTCAACTTTCAACATACAAAGTTACAAGGGGCTGCAAGCTCTCGCTATCATTGTCCTGCTCGTGTTGGGTTTTTGCTTTTGGGTTATTTGGGAGTTGGGGAGGGTTGATTGTTTATCTTTTAGTCTCTGTGCTGTGGATAGTGGTCTCCTGCTTTCTCTCTGAGTCTTTGGCTTCGCAAAGAGAAATAAGAGTGTATAAAAACATGGGTTGGATTCCCTGTTCTGGTAAATCCAACAGTAAAGCAAAGACCAAGAAGGAAAGGAAGAATACGATAGAGTTGCAGGAAAAGCCGCTTGATCAGATCAAACCCACTTCAGGTACTTCCTAGTTTCAGGTCCATTAGCATATTGTGTGAGTGTGACCATATTGTTTTTAATCTAACTTCAGCTCAATCTGTTATGCTTTTTATTGGGTTTGCTTGGCTCTCCATATGGGGTTGTTTTAAATTGAGCAGAAACTTATATATTTCATATGAAGTTCAAGGTCCAAGTGGGAAAAATCGGGGCTTGATTGCTTGACTAATCATCTTACAATTTAAATTGCCTTTTGCATTATCTGATGTTTTGTTGAGGATTCATAATTCTGGTTTTATTTCTTCATGTGAATGAAATCCTATATCTACTTATAAAAGTTCTCACTTTTCTTACCTTCTTTTCCATGTTTGATTTCAGGAATTTCAAAGACAAATTCCACCTTGAGTGTCAAGGAGGATCCCAAAGATGGAGGGTCTGATCACATTGCAGCACAGACTTTTGTATTCCGTGAGTTGGTAGCTGCAACTAGAAATTTCAGAGCAGAATGTCTTTTGGGTGAGGGCGGCTTTGGTCGAGTATATAAAGGACGTTTGGAAAGTACCAATCAGGTTAGGCATGATTATCTTTTCATTTTATCGAACATGAAAAAGTTCAATAGGCTCGAAAAGTTTTGCGTGTGCATCATTTGCCAGGAGATTGAGCTTCTAATATGTACAATGTAGTTGGACATGGAATTGAACCTTCTTGATATGTTTGGTGCAGGTAGTAGCTATCAAACAACTTGATCGTAATGGGTTACAAGGGAACAGGGAATTCCTTGTTGAAGTGTTGATGTTAAGTCTTCTTCACCACCCTAATCTTGTTAATCTTATTGGTTATTGTGCTGATGGAGATCAAAGGCTGCTTGTTTATGAATATATGCCCCTAGGATCTTTAGAGGACCATTTACATGGTATATATTCCATCAGCTTCAAATTTTCCTTAACCTTTCGTATCTATTTAGTATGATTTTCTGTAGAAATTGGTTTCATAAGCTTGTTTTGCAGATATATCTCCTGGTAAGAGACGACTTGATTGGAATACAAGAATGAAAATAGCCGCTGGGGCAGCAAAGGGATTGGAATATTTACATGACAAAGCAAGTCCTCCTGTTATATACAGAGATTTGAAATGCTCCAACATATTGCTTGGTGAAGGGTATCATCCAAAGCTGTCCGATTTTGGCTTAGCCAAACTTGGTCCTGTTGGGGATAACACCCATGTATCTACAAGGGTTATGGGAACCTATGGATATTGTGCTCCCGAGTATGCTATGACAGGGCAATTGACTCTTAAATCAGACGTTTATAGCTTTGGGGTAGTGCTTTTGGAAATTATAACAGGCAGGAAAGCAATTGACAATTCAAGAGCTACAGGAGAACAGAATTTGGTTGCATGGGTAAGAAATCCTGTTTGATCCCATATTTCATTTTCTTTAAGTAATGAGGCCTTTTGAGCTCTTGGTGAAATTTTGTTAAACTAGCTCACAATCTACTAGCAAAAAAGCTAGCACATTTCAAAGACTTAATACTTTTTCTTAACTGTAGTTGTTAAATACTCAATCAACTATCTTGGTAAAAAAGCCTCAGGCTTGAGTAAATTATGTAGATGTTAATACTCGACTCCAAGAATGCATCCTCAGACAGTTCTTAAATCAAGATGAGAAGCCACTTTTCAGACGGTATTTATATTTATTTTTGAAAAGAACTGTATTCCTTGTAGATAGTTGGGATAACGCCAGTTTGGATGCTCTGATGTGATAACCGCTTATACTTGCAGTATTTGTTTCAATCACTTTTATACAGTTAGTTTACTTGAGCATGATAGATATCTAAAGGATGGAAATATATTGACAAAGTAGGGGGATGTAGTTTCATATTTTTCTTTGTATTAACTTTTTATTTTATTCAAAAGCTAAGCTAAGGTATTTGGTTTTGTTAATTGTGAAATTCTAAAGCCTTATACCATGACTGACCATCAATAACGACTTCTGCAAACCAGAACTTATTTTGATCTTTAACACACATGTATATATGACTACTTGTTTTCAGGCAAGACCCTTGTTTAAAGACCGAAAGAAATTTTCGCAAATGGCAGACCCAATGCTCCAGGGTCAGTATCCCCAAAGGGGCTTGTACCAAGCTCTGGCTGTTGCGGCAATGTGTGTACAGGAGCAGCCTAATATGCGGCCAGTTATAGCTGATGTTGTCACAGCTTTAACTTACCTTGCTTCACAGAAGCACGACCAGGAAACACAGCCAGTCCAAAGCTCCCGTCTTGCCCCTTGTACACCCCCTAGAACCAAGAGGGATAGTGAAAGGAAAGCTCAATTATGGTAGTGGACATGACACTAGAAGATTAAATTAAGGTTAGGTTGTAAGTTGTTGGGTTTCTTCCGAATGCTGGTGGCTGTTCTGAGGCCTGCCAGCCATGGCATTGCTATAATACTGCTGGGTAGATGCTCATACGGTATGGATTAATATTTTTATGGCTGATGATAACAAGGACTCAGAGCTTAGTTCTGAATGCTTGTTAGCCGCAAGTTTTTTGCTTGCAGTTTTGTGTCATCACAGATGAAAAGCCCAATTTCCATCTCCGTGTTGTCTCCTCAGAAAAACTTTCCTCCCTTTTTCTGAATATATATAGAGCTAGAAGGCTGTATCATAACATCTTTGTGTGCCTTCTTGCAGTGGTTTCTCATTTGTATTTTTTACGTCCCTTAGGTATCTTTTGATAGAGTACCTTTTTTTTTTTTTAATGTTTCAAGTTTTGGGGGTATAGTTTTGTTTTGTATTTGAAATATGGGAGTTGTGGAAAATGTAATTTTAAACTGTGTCAATATTGGTTTGTTTTTGGCTATAAGAAGCCTGTCAATGTTGCTTGGCTATCTTTCTACGTGAAATATTCAATTTGAATTCTGAGTGGAGGCGGCTAAAAATAGGAGTGTTAGTTAAGTCAACCACCGAACCCAGGTAAGAGTTTCAACTAGAATCAGTTTCTCTGATACTTAAAATAATAATAATTTTTTTTTTAAAAAAGAAGTAACTACACTCAATTTCAAGTAATGGTACTCGTGATGACAATGCCCGACAAATCTCAGCAATACAGTAAGAAACGAAATTGTTAACCAAAGAGACAAAAACCTAAAGTAACCAAATTAACTGAAAGACCAACCCATGCTCTGGTGTGGGCACATTTTAAATACTCAATTCTTGCTTTCAGACCCTCGTAACCTCAAGGAGACTTTGCATGCAACGTATACAATTACTATTCTTCTATCATACCAAACACTAGGAGCTCAAGGCAGAATGAGCACCGGAAATCTCGAGCTTTTTAGTGTTTGTGGCCAAAGGCCGATAGTTCACCGTTTTCGCTTCGTTGATGATGATGGTTGGTTGTGGTACAATCTATTTCTTTGGGATTTATTCCAAAGAGCTCAAAGTCACATTTGGTTATGACCAAGAAACCCTCAATTTGTTGAGCTTTTCCAAAGAACTTGGGGTCAACATTGGCATTTATGCAGGCTTAGTTGCAGAGGTTACACCAACATGGTTTGTGCTCCTCATTGGTGCAGCCATGAACTTCTCTGGCTACTTCATGATATGGCTAGCAGTTACAGGCAAGATTGCCAAGCCACAAATCTGGCAAATGTGTGCCTACATTTACATTGCAGCAAATTCTATGTGCTTTATAAACACAGGAATTGTTCCTGCATGTGTCAAAAACTTCCCAGAAAGTCGTGGCATTATAATTGGCCTCCTCAAAGGGTACATTGGGCTTAGTGCGGCTATTATCACCCAAATTTATATAGCCTTTTATGGAGTTCAGGACAGGAAGAGTGTTATTCTTCTGATTGGTTGGCTCCTAGCTGCAATCACACTTGTGTTTCTGCATACAATTCGTCCTTTAAGAATCAGTACTGAAAATCAACAACAAAGCCAAAAATCTTTTACCTCAACTTGTGTCCAAGTCTCAAATAAATCACATAACAGAAAAAATAAGGGTGGGTGGAATCGAAAATGTGCTCACTTATAAGTTCCAAAAGAAAATTTATAATATTCGAACGTGATCAACACCATCAAATCAAAGTCACATACCAAAAATAAAATTATATTGGGACAAAAATAGTGAACCAAATGCAGGGTCCAAAAGGAGCCATTTGTGACCAGCTGTGACCTTGTGAGTGCGACTAAAATTGAAAGGGTAATAGAAAACTCCACAGTGAGCTTTTCAAACACGCAAGTCTCTTGAAAATGATCTACACCGTTGGGCATGTGGGCCCTATAGCAAAAAGTCACAGAAAGGTTCAATCTTGTCCATCCATTTGGCACCCATATTTTTTTTAAGCTTATTGAAAATATTATCTACAAGCTAAGACTTTTGGGAAAGAAGAAATAAAACATTGACGTTGCATAAACAAAATGATAAAGAGAGACAGAGAGAGAGTGTGTGTGTTAACAAGCTAGACTTTTGGGAAAGAAGAAATAAAACATTGACGTTGCATAAACAAAATGATAAAGAGAGACAGAGAGAGAGTGTGTGTGTTCTAATTTGTAAAGTTCTCAACTTTCAACATACAAAGTTACAAGGGGCTGCAAGCTCTCGCTATCATTGTCCTGCTCGTGTTGGGTTTTTGCTTTTGGGTTATTTGGGAGTTGGGGAGGGTTGATTGTTTATCTTTTAGTCTCTGTGCTGTGGATAGTGGTCTCCTGCTTTCTCTCTGAGTCTTTGGCTTCGCAAAGAGAAATAAGAGTGTATAAAAACATGGGTTGGATTCCCTGTTCTGGTAAATCCAACAGTAAAGCGAAGACCAAGAAGGAAAGGAAGAATACGATAGAGTTGCAGGAAAAGCCGCTTGATCAGATCAAACCCACTTCAGGTACTTCCTAGTTTCAGGTCCATTAGCATATTGTGTGAGTGTGACCATATTGTTTTTAATCTAACTTCAGCTCAATCTGTTATGCTTTTTATTGGGTTTGCTTGGCTCTCCATATGGGGTTGTTTTAAATTGAGCAGAAACTTATATATTTCATATGAAGTTCAAGGTCCAAGTGGGAAAAATCGGGGCTTGATTGCTTGACTAATCATCTTACAATTTAAATTGCCTTTTGCATTATCTGATGTTTTGTTGAGGATTCATAATTCTGGTTTTATTTCTTCATGTGAATGAAATCCTATATCTACTTATAAAAGTTCTCACTTTTCTTACCTTCTTTTCCATGTTTGATTTCAGGAATTTCAAAGACAAATTCCACCTTGAGTGTCAAGGAGGATCCCAAAGATGGAGGGTCTGATCACATTGCAGCACAGACTTTTGTATTCCGTGAGTTGGTAGCTGCAACTAGAAATTTCAGAGCAGAATGTCTTTTGGGTGAGGGCGGCTTTGGTCGAGTATATAAAGGACGTTTGGAAAGTACCAATCAGGTTAGGCATGATTATCTTTTCATTTTATCGAACATGAAAAAGTTCAATAGGCTCGAAAAGTTTTGCGTGTGCATCATTTGCCAGGAGATTGAGCTTCTAATATGTACAATGTAGTTGGACATGGAATTGAACCTTCTTGATATGTTTGGTGCAGGTAGTAGCTATCAAACAACTTGATCGTAATGGGTTACAAGGGAACAGGGAATTCCTTGTTGAAGTGTTGATGTTAAGTCTTCTTCACCACCCTAATCTTGTTAATCTTATTGGTTATTGTGCTGATGGAGATCAAAGGCTGCTTGTTTATGAATATATGCCCCTAGGATCTTTAGAGGACCATTTACATGGTATATATTCCATCAGCTTCAAATTTTCCTTAACCTTTCGTATCTATTTAGTATGATTTTCTGTAGAAATTGGTTTCATAAGCTTGTTTTGCAGATATATCTCCTGGTAAGAGACGACTTGATTGGAATACAAGAATGAAAATAGCCGCTGGGGCAGCAAAGGGATTGGAATATTTACATGACAAAGCAAGTCCTCCTGTTATATACAGAGATTTGAAATGCTCCAACATATTGCTTGGTGAAGGGTATCATCCAAAGCTGTCCGATTTTGGCTTAGCCAAACTTGGTCCTGTTGGGGATAACACCCATGTATCTACAAGGGTTATGGGAACCTATGGATATTGTGCTCCCGAGTATGCTATGACAGGGCAATTGACTCTTAAATCAGACGTTTATAGCTTTGGGGTAGTGCTTTTGGAAATTATAACAGGCAGGAAAGCAATTGACAATTCAAGAGCTACAGGAGAACAGAATTTGGTTGCATGGGTAAGAAATCCTGTTTGATCCCATATTTCATTTTCTTTAAGTAATGAGGCCTTTTGAGCTCTTGGTGAAATTTTGTTAAACTAGCTCACAATCTACTAGCAAAAAAGCTAGCACATTTCAAAGACTTAATACTTTTTCTTAACTGTAGTTGTTAAATACTCAATCAACTATCTTGGTAAAAAAGCCTCAGGCTTGAGTAAATTATGTAGATGTTAATACTCGACTCCAAGAATGCATCCTCAGACAGTTCTTAAATCAAGATGAGAAGCCACTTTTCAGACGGTATTTATATTTATTTTTGAAAAGAACTGTATTCCTTATAGATAGTTGTGATAACGCCAGTTTGGATGCTCTGATGTGATAACCGCTTATACTTGCAGTATTTGTTTCAATCACTTTTATACAGTTAGTTTACTTGAGCATGATAGATATCTAAAGGATGGAAATATATTGACAAAGTAGGGGGATGTAGTTTCATATTTTTCTTTGTATTAACTTTTTATTTTATTCAAAAGCTAAGCTAAGGTATTTGGTTTTGTTAATTGTGAAATTCTAAAGCCTTATACCATGACTGACCATCAATAACGACTTCTGCAAACCAGAACTTATTTTGATCTTTAACACACATGTATATATGACTACTTGTTTTCAGGCAAGACCCTTGTTTAAAGACCGAAAGAAATTTTCGCAAATGGCAGACCCAATGCTCCAGGGTCAGTATCCCCAAAGGGGCTTGTACCAAGCTCTGGCTGTTGCGGCAATGTGTGTACAGGAGCAGCCTAATATGCGGCCAGTTATAGCTGATGTTGTCACAGCTTTAACTTACCTTGCTTCACAGAAGCACGACCAGGAAACACAGCCAGTCCAAAGCTCCCGTCTTGCCCCTTGTACACCCCCTAGAACCAAGAGGGATAGTGAAAGGAAAGCTCAATTATGGTAGTGGACATGACACTAGAAGATTAAATTAAGGTTAGGTTGTAAGTTGTTGGGTTTCTTCCGAATGCTGGTGGCTGTTCTGAGGCCTGCCAGCCATGGCATTGCTATAATACTGCTGGGTAGATGCTCATACGGTATGGATTAATATTTTTATGGCTGATGATAACAAGGACTCAGAGCTTAGTTCTGAATGCTTGTTAGCCGCAAGTTTTTTGCTTGCAGTTTTGTGTCATCACAGATGAAAAGCCCAATTTCCATCTCCGTGTTGTCTCCTCAGAAAAACTTTCCTCCCTTTTTCTGAATATATATAGAGCTAGAAGGCTGTATCATAACATCTTTGTGTGCCTTCTTGCAGTGGTTTCTCATTTGTATTTTTTACGTCCCTTAGGTATCTTTTGATAGAGTACCTTTTTTTTTTTTTAATGTTTCAAGTTTTGGGGGTATAGTTTTGTTTTGTATTTGAAATATGGGAGTTGTGGAAAATGTAATTTTAAACTGTGTCAATATTGGTTTGTTTTTGGCTATAAGAAGCCTGTCAATGTTGCTTGGCTATCTTTCTACGTGAAATATTCAATTTGAATTCTGAGTGGAGGCGGCTAAAAATAGGAGTGTTAGTTAAGTCAACCACCGAACCCAGGTAAGAGTTTCAACTAGAATCAGTTTCTCTGATACTTAAAATAATAATAATTTTTTTTTTAAAAAAGAAGTAACTACACTCAATTTCAAGTAATGGTACTCGTGATGACAATGCCCGACAAATCTCAGCAATACAGTAAGAAACGAAATTGTTAACCAAAGAGACAAAAACCTAAAGTAACCAAATTAACTGAAAGACCAACCCATGCTCTGGTTTGGGCACATTTTAAATACTCAATTCTTGCTTTCAGACCCTCATAACCTCAAGGAGACCTTGCATGCAACGTATACAATTACTATTCTTCTATCATACCAAACACTAGGAGCTCAAGGCAGAATGAGCACCGGAAATCTCGAGCTTTTTAGTGTTTGTGGCCAAAGGCCGATAGTTCACCGTTTTCGCTTCGTTGATGATGATGGTTGGTTGTGGTACAATCTATTTCTTTGGGATTTATTCCAAAGAGCTCAAAGTCACATTTGGTTATGACCAAGAAACCCTCAATTTGTTGAGCTTTTCCAAAGAACTTGGGGTCAACATTGGCATTTATGCAGGCTTAGTTGCAGAGGTTACACCAACATGGTTTGTGCTCCTCATTGGTGCAGCCATGAACTTCTCTGGCTACTTCATGATATGGCTAGCAGTTACAGGCAAGATTGCCAAGCCACAAATCTGGCAAATGTGTGCCTACATTTACATTGCAGCAAATTCTATGTGCTTTATAAACACAGGAATTGTTCCTGCATGTGTCAAAAACTTCCCAGAAAGTCGTGGCATTATAATTGGCCTCCTCAAAGGGTACATTGGGCTTAGTGCGGCTATTATCACCCAAATTTATGTAGCCTTTTATGGAGTTCAGGACAGGAAGAGTGTTATTCTTCTGATTGGTTGGCTCCTAGCTGCAATCACACTTGTGTTTCTGCATACAATTCGTCCTTTAAGAATCAGTACTGAAAATCAACAACAAAGCCAAAACCAAAACAAAAACCAACTCAGAGTGTTCTTCCAGTTTCTGTATGTATCAGTTGGTTTGGCTTTGTTTCTCATGGCAATAACTCTGACTCAGAAATCGGTTGTGTTCCCTCAGGCAGCTCAACCCGCGACAGCTACGGTGGTCTGCATCATTGTTTTGCTTCCTCTCTGGATTACCGTATGAGAGGAATTAGTCAACTGGAAATTAATAAAACAAGCACCTCAGATAACCATTGAGAAACCACAAGAAGTAATTCCATCCAAACAAGAAGATCCTGCTTCTTCTTCTTCTTCCCAACGAGAACAACAAGAACTAGAGTATCAAGAGGTGAAGAAGCCGAAACGTGCATCTTTCGTCTCAAACTTGTTCAACAAGCCACCTAGAGGAGATAACTATACCATTTCACAAGCACTTTTCAGCATTGACATGCTGATCATATTCATTGCAACTTTATTCGGACTTGGCTCAAGCTTTACTGCCACGGACAAAGAGGCATATTAAGGCGATGCCAAATACCTATAGGATGATTAAGATAAGAATGATTACTGATTTTTCCAACTGTACTCTAGAATTCGAATGAAGACGAAGTTTATTCTTATTAAATTGCTTACTAAATTATCAATAATCGGCGTGAAAACCGATTTGTTAGTTACTAAATTACCTTTGTGTCACTCCACAGCATATGGAACTTTTTCGGTCGAATCTTTTCTGGGTTCGCCTCAGAAATCCTACTCATGAAATACAAAATCCCAAGACCCCTCATGCTCACTCTTGCCCTCATCTTGGCAAGCTTTGGCTACCTCTTCATTTTTTTTCCCTTCCATGGTTCCTTGTACTTTGCTTCAGTCATCATCGGGTTTACTCTCGAGCTTCAGCTCCCATTGTGTGTGACAATCATTTCTGAGCTTTTCGGGTTGAAGCACTACGCGCTGCTGTTGAATTTTAGCCAATTGATAAGCCCTCTTGCCTCTTATATATTGAGTGTCAAGATCACTGGTGCGCTCTATGACAGAGGCAAACAAGGAGCTTGCCAGGCTTGGTCTACAAAGGATCAAGGGCCAGCCTCTAACATGCATTGGAACTCAGTGTTATAAGCTGTCATTTACAATTTTGACTACTGTCACACTGTTTGCAGCTCTCGGCTCACTTGTTTTGGTGAGGAGAACACTAAAATTCTACAGAAGTGACATATACAAGAAGTTCAGAGACAATGCAGAGAAAGTAGTCAAGGCTGAAGAGAAATAAATGGCTTCATCATCACCGACTTGTTAATGGAGGAAATAAATGGCTTCACTCGGAACTTAAAGTAGAAAGCCTATCCGAAATTCTGATTTTCTTAACAATATTTTGTTAGTTACAATTTGGTTAAACTTGCCTCCTGGAAGTAGGGACTCCTACTTTCAATGTATATGGACATTTTTCTTTGTATTTTTTATGAATTATTTTTGCATATATGTCAAACTGCGATTTAAAAAGTTGACAAGCTTACAGATTGACGGCTCCCTCTCGGCCCCAGTATATAAATGCCTAACAAATCTGACAAAAATAGTAAAATTCTACAGAAGTGACATATACAAGAAGTTCAGAGACAATGCAGAGAAAGTAGTCAAGGCTGAAGAGAAATAAATGGCTTCATCATCACCGACTTGTTAATGGAGGAAATAAATGGCTTCACTCGGAACTTAAAGTAGAAAGCCTATCCGAAATTCTGATTTTCTTAACAATATTTTGTTAGTTACAATTTGGTTATGGACATTTTTCTTTGTATTTTTTATGAATTATTTCTGCATATATGTCAAACTGCGATTTAAAAAGTTGACAAGCTTACAGATTGACGGCTCCCTCTCGGCCCCAGTATATAAATGCCTAACAAATCTGACAAAAATAGTTGAGGGCTAACAAAAATAGTTTTTCGAGAGGGTGGATATTGGTTTGTCTTTCTTTTCTTGTACCAATAAATAAGCTTTTTACAGCAATACAACTAGGACCAAGAAGGAAAGGAAGAACAAGATAGAGTTGCAGGAAAAGCCACTTGATCAGATCAATCAAACCCACTTCAGGCACTTACTAGTTTCGGTCATCATTGGTTTCACTCTTGGAGCTCAGCTCCGATTGGCTTTGGCAATCATTTCTCAACTTTTTGGGTTGAAGTACTACTCTACCTTATTTAATTAAAGTGCATAAACTACTAGAAAAAAAAAAAAAAAAAACCCAGCAGGAATGCAAATATTTAATAAAAAGAATGTTCCTATTTGCTGATGATGACGATGATATCCACTAACAGAGGCCAAAAGTGATTATAAAACGCCATTATTGTAAATAAATTGACTATTGAAAAAGAGAACTAATGTGCTTTACATTCTGACTGTCTAGGGGTAAACCGAACCCACAGTTAAAAATTGACAAGTTTACAGATTGATGGCCCTCTTAGCCACCAGTATATAAATACAAAGAGGAAGACGAAGAGAATGAAGAAGACATGTACTGACATACTTAGGCAGCAGCAGTTTCAATCTCTGCTCTTTCATGGCAATCAGAGAAAGCATCCATCACTTTGCATTCCCCTTCTCTTCCTCACCAGTTTTGTCCTTTGGAGAGCTTGGCTCTCTCTGTTCACTGGGTGATTTCAAGTCACTGGCTCCCTGTCACAAATGAAAATAGGTTTACGAACAGAAAGCATGCACTGGTTAAGACTAAAAGAACTCTTCAATCAACTGGATCCTGTGATGAACATTACGGGCGATCAACACGGCAAATGTAATTATATACCTTATTTCTGTCACGCCAACCAAGTCCAAATGACAGAATGCCTAACTTTTTGGTGTTCCCCTGGGTGGTCGCAGCCCTACAAAGCACACTACCTTGATAAATACTACCAGAGAAATATATGGCCCAATAAAACAACCAATGAATAAGTAGTTACAGTATTTATGACAGGCAAATGTATACACACTATATAGAAAAGGGAACTGAATAGCGTACAGAAAATCATCATATAGCTCATTCTAGAAACAGAGATTTTCATATACCGTGGAGATTTTAGTGCTTTGGCTTGTCCAGATTCATATTGCAATGTAGCTTCCAACATCGATTCTGCCACTTTTACTCTCTTTTCCATCTCAGTAAGTGAAGACATGGCTTTGTCATATTTTTCCTGCATATATTCTTTTCTGTTGAGAAATAGATACATTCATGTTTTACAAAGATGGAAAAAAGTGAGATCTGGAGGCTCCAACAGCAATACACAATAACCTGCCGAGCAAATAGGTTCAGCTGTCTCAATTAAGCATTTTTTTCCGCAGTCATGCATTTTACAAGAATGTGGATTTCTTAGAAAGCTAAAAAGACAGGGAAATGGTGCATGTCCCAAAATTTTATTACAAAATAGGGCACTATATATCATTTATTTAATCACTGCAAGGCAGAAAACGCCCAGCATTGTCTTGTTGGCGATTTTATTTCAAAGAAAGAGCAAGGAAACTCCCAAGATGTTAGGAGATGGCTTCAAATAGGTATCCCAATCTTTAAAATAGCATCATTCAATTTCCACGGCATCAAAGAAAAAAGGAACCTGAAGCACATGAACTGCATTTTTCTGAGCAGCTACTTCTTGCTCGGCATTTATTCGTGCATCTTCAGTTACCTTCTGCTCTTGCTCCATCCACATCAAGACCTGAACAGAACCCAAAAAGGAAAAAGAAAGAAAGAGATTATCTTTCCTCTCCTCTGCCCCCCCAAAAAAAGAGAGGAGAAAACAGCAAATAAATTTGAACCTTAAGCATTGCAGCCTCTTGCTCTGTCTTATCAGCAAGGGCTTGCTGTAGCTCAGCCACCTCTTTCTCCAACTGCTCAACCTGCAGGACCACAACAAAAGGTATTAACCTACAAGGATATGAATTCAAAAATTCACAGGAAAATCTTGTAATTCGCAATCCTAAAATCCCAGGGAGAAGATCGGAACAATCTGTACATAGTTGGATGACCAGAGGATGTCTACCCAAGTGAAGAAAGAATCTCCACTAGCACCGGCTCAACTAGGATAGGAGGCTAAAGCATAAAAGTTTAAAGCATTTTCACTAGCGTTGGGATCTAAATCTTTTTTCTTTGGTTACAAATTCTGAAACAATCTTATCTTGAGTGTGTTGGGTGCAATCACTTCTACAGTTAGGATGAATTGTGACAAGGTTGTTTGAGTTGAGGTGAGAAAAAATAAAAAAAGAATACAACTCCTCTATCACCTTGGTTGCATTAAGGATAAACGTCACAATTCATCCTTACTGTTGAAAATTATTGCACTGAAGGGCCTCAAAATGGTGTCCAACTTGTGTGATTTACCGGGGGTGAATAATCCTGACCCTTCTCATCAATAATAATCAGAAGACTGAAGATAACCCAACAACTCATCTGTCACTCCAAAACATCAATCAGTGGATGCTTGATGTCATTGAGGTGAGAAAAATTAAAAAAAGAATACAACTCCTCTATCACCTTGGTTGCATTAAGGATAAACGTCACAATTCATCCTTACTGTTGAAAATTATTGCACTCAAGGGCCTCAAAATGGTGTCCAACTTGTGTGATTTACCGGGGGTGAATAATCCTGACCCTTCTCATCAATAATAATCAGAAGACTGAAGATAACCCAACAACTCATCTGTCACTCCAAAACATCAATCAGTGGATGCTTGATGTCATGACAGCATATTGGAGTGCCTGATTGAAGGTAAAGCAACAACTTGAAGGATATATTGTGTTGACTGATCCCTAAACTATTCATCAATAATCTTTGCACTGCTGGAGAAAGATTTGAACTAAAGAAACTTTGTGAAACATCACCATCTTTAAAACAACAATTGCACAGATTTCTTCAGCATGACATAATAATCAAACATAACAGATTTCTTCAACATGGAATAATTTGAGATCATAACACAGGAAAAATAGTCAGCTAAATCAACAGTGGAACTACCCTTGCGCTTAATTCTCGTCGATTATCAAGCTTGACAATCTCCATAAGCGCTGTCTCCAACTCCTCAGCTCTAGAAAAGGAACAGGAACCACAAACACAGTCTCAATCATTATTGTCACAAGGCACAAAAATAAGATCACAATAGTCCAGGCAAAAGGGCAGTTGATAGTTTCACCACAAGAGTAATTACATGCATGAAAACCAATGGCCTTCTATGGGTGTTAATAGGTGCCAATTGGGCATTATCAAACTAGTAAGTTAAAGAGTTTGGTCATTTTTGAAGTTTCACATTGACGAAGGCAAAGGGAAAGAAAAAAGTTTGTGTCAGAAAACAACAACAAAGCCAAAACTGATGTGTGTTTTTAGAAAAGGAAATATTTAGGTAGTCTTATGGATGTACATTAACCTCGATGGGTCAATGAGGATGAAGGAAACAATGCATTGCAGGATTCCAGCTGAAATGGAACAAGGCCCACAACTAACATCTTAAGTGCGTCTTATCTTAAATTCTTTCACTTTTATCAAGCGATAGCTACCAAATCAGGTCCCAAAAGTGCAGAACTTCGAACCAAGTTAAGTAGCAAGTAACCTGAGTACGGCAGATCTTTTCTCCTCCAGCACTCTGCATAGCTCAACCTTCAACCAAATGACCTGCACAAAAGCTGTTAATGATTGAAATTTAAAAGGAGTTGTACAGGGATTGCTTATTTCGTTAAACTAATTACAAGTTGAGAAAAACTTTAAACATGTCCGTTAAGTAGTCAACTAAATGAACTTGGCCAATTTTATCAAGACATTTACTTCACAATTTACATTGTAGATCCAATGTATGCCAAAAAGGTTTTTAGGAAAAGATGAGAAGAGAAAGCAACCTGATCCTGAAGCTCTGGTAAAGAATCTACTTCTGAATCAACGGATGTGCCACTAAGTAATTCATCAAGATTACGGGAGCCAGATTTCGAATGAGATACATAGCCATCTGTAGTGCCTTCTTCAGTAGTATTTTTTTCTTCTGTTACAATAGGATCATGCTTAAAACTATACAGCTTAGATGCAAGCCCTTTGGAATCCTTCCAAACCTGACCCGTTTTAGATCTTTCCTCAACTACTGCTAATACAGCTGGCCGATGCTTATCTCTCAACTCTTGCAATCTAGTTTCAGTTATAGCCAAAAAACCCATGCAAGCAGTCAAAACAAGCTGGCTGCTATCAAATGTTGAGCCAGCAAGGGACTGCAATAAAGTAATAGCATCCCCGGCATCTTTAGTGGTAACTAAAGCCGGACCTGCAGAAACATACAGATAATGAAATTAAAAAATCAACAAAATCATATCTTTGATTGAAAAACAAACAAAATCATATCTTTTATGAGCTTAGAGTTAGTAAAATTGCAGCATATTACCATATAGCTCCAATAATGCTAGTGCTGTTCGAAAAAGCATAACACGATTTCCTTCAAATAGAAGCACATCCCAAACTCGAATAACTGAAGATCAAGGAAGCAATAAGAAGGTAGATATGACTTCGAAGTCTTTCTTGAAACTGAACTAATGAGACGTTATTTAAACAACGCAAAGCAGTGTCGCATAAATCTCACCACTTTCCCAAGGAATCATATTTACAAATATGGAAAGGAACCAAGGTCCAGTGAACCATGCCACCTGGACTCCTAAGTAATCCAAATGATTCACTGCCATAAGCATGGAGGGATAGTAAGAAGAGTACCACACCGTTTCATGGAATGTAAAGAACCAAATATAAGATGATTGATGATTATGAGAAGTATGCAAACCCAGTTTTGGAAAATTTTCTCGCACCAACTCCTCAAATACAAGTTGGTCCACCTGATAAACAGAATAATTAATTTTCATGAAGATGAATCAGAAAAGAATCCTCCATAAGTATTAAAACTGTTGGAAGTGTGATAAACATCAAATGGTGAAACAGAATGCAATGGCATGTATTTATGCTCAAGAACTCTAAACCATGAAATCACACCTGAGATTCTATCATTTCCTCAGTATAGTAGCCATCAAAATAGTCGTCAATTATACCCACAAAAGTCCTATAAGAAAAATAATATGGAAAGAAACAGTTTAAAGAATGAGCTGGGTTATCATAGAACATGCCTGTACAGATTGGTTAAGAATTGAACTGCAGTAATGTTGAAAGAGACAACCATTGTCTTTAGCAAATATGGAAAACTCTTTCAACAAAATTTTGTGCCATAAAAAAAGAAAGAAACAAAAACATACGAATAGCCAATGCACAATTCAGAAATCTTATTAAACTATTTATCTGCAGAAGTTATTAGAGAGCATCGATTTTATTAGAAATGATATATATTATATATACACAATTTGAAGAGATAGGGGAATATGAGCTCTAAAAACGTACCAAAAGGCATTTTCCTCAGGCATCAGAAGTATGATATATATACACAATTTGAAGAGATAGGGGAATATGAGCTCTAAAAACGTACCAAAAGGCATTTTCCTCAGGCATCAGAAGTAGCAATAACCCTGCAAAGAAATTCATTGCCTGCATATATTTTCATACCAAAGTAATAATAATACTGACTAATATAGTAATAAATAAGACATTTATCAGGTGTTCGATAAAATAAAATTAAAAAACACTTCAGGTCAGTGCATGTAATGTATTAGTTGCTAGAAGTGTACACAAAAGACAAACATTGAATCTTTTTAATTAATAAAATATATTACCCCTTGACAAATCCACTGAAACACATACAAAACAAAATTTCAGATGAATTGCCCCAATTACCTGGCAATACCCAAGAGAGGGGTTATGACGAGCATAAGCTAAAAGCAAACGCCTCAGTGAATTACGACCATCCTCATTCAATGCAGGATGCCCTGGAAATGTACGTGGTATGTCCTGCAATAGAATGCAAAAAGTTAGTTTAGGGAGAAACCCAGATTGCAATACAAAGCAAAAGAAGCAGCACCTACGAATTGAAACGACAAAGTCCAAGGCACATGCATCTAATGACCTTCTCAATCTGCCTTCTCCATTTTCTGGGAACACCAGATGAGTTGTCTTTATCCACGCTTTCAGTAGTATTTGTTTCTTGAGCCAGCAATTCGTAGTAATATCTCTCCACCCGACGAGCCTTCACACCAACAAAAGCTTGCCATACCTGCAATGGAAAGATTTAGAAAGCATTGCACTTCCTGTCAAACAAGTTATTTTGGTAAAACCAATCAAGTTGAGGGTAAGGGTTTTACCTCTCCCCTCAGATCCGTTGGCACTCCCCCATGAACTAGAGACTCCAGTTCTAGTTTCCAAGGAAAGAAAGGCTCTGTAGGGGCCCCATTAGCCACAGCTTCCTCAGCTTCCTCTGTCCCAATACCTTGCACACTGTTAGGGACACCACCACCCATAGCCTCTACTTTCCCAGCAACTTTCACACCGTCAGAGAACCCATCACTTACAGAATTTTCTGCAGTGAAGGCATCCGGACTGTCGTTCAATGCATCGCTAAAGCAAACGTCTTCCTCAACATCATCCTCAGATGCCCCTCCTAAAGAGGCTGCTTCTGATGGAAGGTGGTCTTTATCCACAATTATTTGCTTATCTTTCATAATTTTTCCCTTCCTAACACGAAAGCTCATCATATTTTCAATGGAACTAAGAGATGATCTAATGAGAGTCCATGTTTGGACCTTACTTTTTTCTGTTTCTTTTGAATGTTGAAGCTCCTTTTCAGGATCTCTTTCTGATGAACAACCCGAAACAGATTTCCCACTAATTGTATCATTCCCTTCCTCACCACTCTCAGGAACTGTCTCTGCTTTCTGCTCAGTAGCTTCAGCCTGCAATTCCTCTTTATGTGCCTTCTCAGGAGAGCACAGTTCAGAAGATTTCTCTACATGTTCAAGGAAGTTCTTCCATTTATTTGATCTTTCCTCTTCCTCCTCCTGATACCATAAATATATCACTAAACTGAACGGTCAAATTTTCTTACTTTAGTCATTTGGCTCTGTTCATTTCGATGGAAATACTTTTTTCAACAGAAGAAGAAGTCCTTGGAAATACATTTGTAAAGCCTCACATCACTTATTTAAAACTATTACAAAACTGGAACCTAAGGATAATACATCATGCCACTTTAGTTTGCTATAAAGCTTAGAATCGATTTAAAATCATATTTTCCTCTCTTGCAAAAGTTTCAGCTGATAATACCTCCTATAGCAATCACACAGATAATATCAGAAGTTTAAAGCAAAATACTGGCTTTCGCCCATCGACATATTGAAGTTGATCATATGATACTTGAAGGAATGTTAAAACAGTTACAAAGTGATTTTAATATCACAAAATGCGCATAACATGTGCCCAAGAAAATACCTTGTAGATATGAGAGTACTCTCTATATGTTTGTACATGCTGAGGTCTCAAAGCAAATCCATAGGCGTCCCTGTTGACAGCAATTTCTCCATGAATCTTTTAAATGGAAACTATAACAAAACTTTTATATAAAAAAATCTAAGATTCCATGACAAAAACAATCTAACGCAGCATCTTGATGTCAAATCAGTGCCAGAAAAAACAAATGTGCCGTGCATTTAACATCTACAAACAAATATGAAGGTTGCAGTTGCCCGGCATTGTGAATTAAGAAACCGGACAAGAACCAAATACACATTAAGTTGCTGAACTCTACAGACCTGGAATCAGCCTCCAACGAGCGCTTACTCAACAAGGACAACAACATGCTTCAAAAAGAGTTGCAATTCTACTGCCCATAGCTCTCATTTTCTTTACAACCAAACCCAAAATTCTAAACCTTCCGCCACATTACACACCCGAAGCAAAAAATGAAGATCACCCATGCACATTACGCATTTGGACGAACCCTAACCCTAATTCCCCTCAATTACCACACAAGCTCATCAAAATTCAAGACTAGCCAATCCTGAACCTCATCAAAATTCAAGACTAACCAATCCTGAAGCAGAGTTTAAAATTCTAAAAGATTAAATTC